TAGCCGTTTATTCGTTACTGCGCCACATCGATCACCTGCTTTAACGAGCTTCCGGCACCGTCTTCCTACCGCTCACAATATTGTGAGCTGTGAAAACGTGATCCCGGAAACACGTGGAAGGGATGATCGATGTGGCGCAGTAACGAAATTAACCGCTATGTCGATCATCTACCTAAAATGGGTTTCCCAGGATTAAAGGTCGTAAAAGTCGTTTAAGGCTATTAGTGGTAATAAGGGTAATAAAGGAAACTATAATTAATGGGTCATATAATAATTAAGGGCTTTAAGTAATATAGGAAATTAAAGGGGTATATTACGGATGATATATTTAATATATTAATAAAAAGTACAAATAATTACAATCGTCCTCGTTGTAGAGAAGTCCTCGGAAATCGATTTTCCAAATTTCAAAAAAAGTATAAAAATCGATTTTTCAATAGTCATTTAATAGCTATTTTAAAAATTACAATAATCGATACCCATCTCTATCTCGAACCGAGAAATGATCTTAACTATAGCCTATATCGAGAGAATAATATAACGATCAATTCTTCATGACGAACCACAAGTTCTGGACGTAAGAAAATGTTTGTCATATAAAATTATTATGCTTTCTTAAGAACTATAACTCTTTATACCGAACTAATACAAAATTTAAATTTTCATTACATTATATTCAGAGTTTATTATAGAGGTGTTCGTTATTATGAATTGACTTTCAATGATTCTATATCGATGTTAAGAGATTATTATTTAATCATGAATATATTTTAAAATTTTACAACCTTTTACTGTTTTATTTGAGGTTTATTTATAATAATTAACTTTTTTATAATGAACCTTTCGCACAATAAACCGCAAATTTTAAATTTATATATGTTGAATTTTGGACGTGTATAATTTTTATTTTGTATATTCTATGATTCGATGTTATCTGTATTATTTGATTCAAGCTTTAAGTCTGCTCGTGATTATCATTAAGTAATTAAGTTTATTTTAAAAGTATGCTTAATAATAATAGTTTTGTCAAAAAAAAGCGATGTTTAAAAAAAGGAATTTATGAAGTATGAAAAATAATCGAAAATTTTTTAAAATAATCTAAATTTTCCGGAGAATTATAAGCTTGGAATATCATGCGTTTACGCCTCGATTGTCAAAACTTTTCATATAGCATTTCACGGCGAGGGTTTGAGAAAATTTTATATCATCATTATACTGTATGGTGCATATAAATACAGTACTGTAATCATACTGTACATAATTTCTACAAACCGGTCGACTGATTTGAGTAATTTTGGCAGCCGGACCAGCCAAAGGTTTGGCCATCGACCCGTGTCACTAACTTAAAATTATTAATTTATTAGTATTAATAGAGAAATGAAAACTCAAATTATTTAGCAAAATGGGTACCAATTAGATTTGTCATTCTCCAAGCTTTCAAATCAACTTCAGCCTCCTTGATTTTCCATTCTCCACGCTTTCAAATCAAATTGTGCCTCCTTAATTTTTTTTTGTCTAATTTTCGAATACACTATTCGACTATCCTCTGAATGAATTGCTTTCCAATAAAGATTTTCTAAAAATTGTAGGACTTTGAAATCGTCATTTTTACCAAAAGAATCGCCAATAACTTTAATATGCGCCAAATTGTTGGGTTCGGGATCAACGTATTTTACTTGTACGACGGGATTGAACCTGACGCGATAATTAGGTTCAATATATCTTATTTGTACTTCGGGATTAAATTTAACGTGACGATGTGTCTTCTGTGGCAAGGTTATTTGATCCTGATTTTGACAAAATATTTTCAAAAAAATATTTGTATATTTCTGTTAGTTACTTACAAATATATATAAAAGTATAGTTATTTATCGATATTTACCATGATATCATCATCTTCTTCTTCATCAAAAGAGTCACCAACAATTTGGGTAGGATCAAAGTATTTTACTTGTATTTCGGTGTTTAATCTAACGTGACGATTTTGCTTCTGACAAAATATTTTTGAAGAAATATCTTTCGGTTAGCAATTTACAAACACATATAAAAAGTGTAGTTATTTGTCGATATTTACCATGACGTCATGCTGAGGTTGCTGTTGCTGTTGTTGTAGCAATTGTTGTAGTTGTTGTAGCAATTGTTGTAGTTGTTGCCGTTGCAGTTGTTGTTCATGTTCCAAATAGCAAGCAATTACAAATAAGATAGAGAAGGTAACTAAAAAAAAACAAACACAATGTTAAGCAAAAGCGATACGCATTATTTAGTGAAATTGTTTGGCTTCAGTTTTGCTTACAGCGAACACCATGATTTAATATTCAGTGAGTTTTAATCTGGCTTTTTGATATGTTTAAGATTTGTTTAAAAGTTTTAAACCGATAATAATGCGTCTGATGTTTGTAAGTTCGAAACAACGGTAAGTTCAAGGTTTCTGGTGTGAGATTTGACTTTTTTATATGATCCAAATATTTTTCAAAACAACATCTGTATAAAATATTGATCCAAACTAGATGTTGATTGGTTGTGTAACCACAATATTATAAAATTGATATTTTTAAATATTGAAAAAATTTTCAAACCAAGCTTTGAATTCAGGTAAGTGATTTTTTAAGAATGGAATTTGAAATGTGTAAAGAAATTATTTTTTGGGAATATTGATAAAGATATTGATATTGAATTTATCATCATTTTGAATTTTAAAAAGTGGCTAATTGATGTTATCTTCACTAATATAATAGTGGAGTTTGAAGTAAATAGGATAGAGTTTGAGGTCCTCATGAAATTTTTCTGCATGAATAGTTTTGTATTTATTGTGAAGAATAAGATGTAGACAGGCCAAGTTAAGAGCTATTTGTTTTCGATTAGTAGTAGTATATAGTGGAATAAAACTATAAGAGGCAAAGATTTTTGGATAATTAAGTTAGATAAATAGGATTGTAGTAAATTCTTGAAGAAGGGAAATAAATATAGAGTGGATTAGTTCAAATGAAATAGATATTGATTTATCGATTGAAGGGTTTGCTTCATAAATAAGATCAGTTAAAAATTTAGATCTTTTGCTTGCAAAAGTTTTAACTAAATATTTATAATTGAGTTTTGATTCAGGAGTTTTGTCAGATGCTGGTTGGATAATTTTTCTTGGATAAACATCAATAAGGTATGGTTTAATAAAAGTAAAAAGCTGTTAAGCAATAGGATTGTTAAGTTTGATGTTATTTTTCATTGAGTCAGTTACTGGATATTCTTTAAACCAGTCAAGATCATTGCTAGTATCTCTTAGGTTTTCTTTTTTCTTTTGTTTTTGTTTGTTGTTTTTATTTTTTTTGGAGAAAAAGGAAGTAAAAAGTTAGATTTTATTAGCAGATTTCATTTATTGAAGTTTGATAAAAGTAAGAATAATTTGTTGTTTGAGAGTAAAAGGAAAAATAATTTGTTTTTGAGAGGTAGAGAAGGAGCTTTAGTTGTTTAAACTAATTAGTTTTGATTTAATTATAGCTGTAATTATTTATTATTGAAATGTCAAAGGTGAAGTTTGTACAAGAGGCTTGAGTTTAATGTTTAATAGGTTAGAAACACAAAGCCTATATAATAAATTATTTTTGAAGATAGTACAAATAGTATAGTCATGAGCATGATTGCTTTGTTCAGTTGTAATACAAAGGATGTTTTTAATTCTACATATAAAACATATATGATAATATTAAGAATATGCATTAATTACAGTTGAAGTAGGATCTATTTGGAAGCCAGAAAATAGAATACAAGGTTTAGTTGAAGAGATATCTGGTTGTTGTTGTTTAGAATTAGGTAAAGCAGGCAATTTGTCAGTAATTTTTGTAAATCATTTAGTAGACATAATAGATGTAGTTTGAGTTGTAGGTTAACTAAGAAATGTTGAATAAGAAATTTTGTAAAATCTAGAAGTAAAACTAATATAATATGCTTCACAGAGACATGTAGCAATAGTAGATTGTAAAGGAACTTTAAAATAATGATGTTTTTTAACAGAAGCATCACAATTAATTAGATTAACATCTGCAGAAAGTACTCGTAAGGATTGAGGTTTTCTTTCGATCATTCCCATACCAGATGATCTTTGTATTTACTATGATAATAGTTGATATCATAAGAATCTAAATCTTTATTAATAAGAGTTGGCATTTTTGCTTAAGAGATAAAAATAAAATAGATTATAAAAATTTTGGATATAAGGCGATCTGAAAAATATAGGAATGTGACAAATAAGAGGTATGATAAATAAAGTGTGTGACAAATAATAGGGTATGACAAATAAGGTAATGTGATAAACACAGGATGTGTCAAATAAGTATTACACAGTGTATATAACACTTACAGATCTGTAAGTCAAAATTAACGTTAAACAAAAAGTTGTATAAAATTAAAAAAATACAAATTTGTAAACAATACAGATTGATTCAAATAGTGTAATATTGATTAGTAATTCTGTTTGGGTGGGTTTAGATGGGGCAGACCAGAGACAGCTCCTTCCTATAAAAAAAAAAAATTTATAAAAATAAAATACAAAGTTTTGCAAAAGAGTTTAAAGAAATTTTTTGATAAATTGGTCAATTTAAATTATTTTTAATGATTTATATATCAAAATAAAACTGATAATGAGCTTTTTCAGTTTGTTCTAAGTTATCAGAGCAGTTATCCTAGTAAATATTGAAATAACTTAAATAGAAACATTTTTTAGTTAGTTAAATATATCTTTGTTGAAAAAGAACTTAGAGATATAAACCTTGATTGCCTAAGTGTAAAATTGTGTCAGGAACAACTTTACTTAGACATCCAAAAGCAGTTTATTTAATAAATTATTGAATAAGAATTAAATATTTATAGTAGAAATTTGGTACAAGTGATCATTAAAAAGAGTTAATGATTTGTGTCAACATTAGTTATTGACATTCCTCTATATATATATAATGTTATACTTTACAAAAATGTCCTGTTCTCCTATTTAAGATAATTTCTCTAAAATTACAGATCATCTTTTTTGTTCAACTAATTAACAAAACACAATTACTATAACACAAATATGATTTCAAATTTTGTTATCTATAGGATTTGAACACTAGATCTACCACTTGAAGTTTAACAACTTGTTTACTTTACTAGATCACTACACCTTTATATAAAATTCTTAATATTAAAATTATACATAATTGCTAATAAATACACTATCTTTATTTTAACTAATCTGAATGCCAAACTATTTTATTGCATCAATTTTAACAAAACTTTTAATCTTTATACAAACTTTTTTTAATATTACACTCTTTAATATTCTTTATATATTTTATTTTCTTTTTTATTAGTGATCAACTTACAACAACTGTTTCATATTTTTGAATCATATCAATTTTCTGATAATCTTTAGACTATTGTTAATTCAAACTATAATTTATTAGCTATTTTATTTTATGCTAATAGTTTTGTTATTAATCTTGGTATTTATTAATACTTTATAGATATAAGTTAGATTTAAATTAATAATTCTATAACTATTCATTTATTTTAGATACAAGTTAAACTTTGGTTATGCTTTTTTAAAACTGAAATTTTTGATGTTCTTTACTTCTAGATAATGTTTTATATATATATTTATTAACTTACAATTAGTAATTTCTAAATATTATAATATTTGTCAGTTAGTATTTACTCTTTCTCATACTAATACATTATATTTCTTTTTTTGACAAACTTTTGTTAATTTTATTACTTCTATAATATTTAGTTTACTTTTTACAAAGTTATTATATGCTCAAATATTCTATTTAATAATCTTGCTAACTAATTTGTTTATAAAATCAAATGTTATTTTATTTGATATTCTTAACTAACAACCTTTATAACCTTTCTATATATTATTTATTAACTATTTTTTTATTAAAATTTATATTTTTTTATTTTTTTTATTCTTTAACAGTCTTGTCAGAGCTCAAATACAAAATTTTACTATTTGAAACATTAACTATTTCTAGTAATCCAAATTTTGAAATTGCAAGCCTGATATCATCCAAGTACAGAAACTGCACTTAAATGCAACTTGTTGCACTAGTTTATGCCTAAACTAGAAGACTTTGTTAGCTCTGTCAAGAACTGAACCAGAAAGAATTAGTTCTATTCTATACTAGTTCATCTATTCTTTTATTAAATAGCTGAATAAATTCTGTTTCTCTCTCTTTATTCTTACTAACTTTTATTTTATTCAATATACTTTTCTTGTTATCTCTTCTATTTTTAATTCTTTTTAAACTATAGCTTTTGTTTTTATTTTCTTTCATTTTATATCCTTCATTTTAAAGGTTATTCCATTCTTATTTTTTTATTTGACTATTATTTTGCATCTTCTTCACTATATTTATTCTTTAAACATTTTTTCTACAATTTTGATATATAGTTTTACTAAATATTTTGTACCTCTTCTTAACACTTGCTTTACATATAATTCTTTAAACATAGTTTTATTGCTTAGCCATGTATATATAACTTAAGATGCCTGATCTTATCTGCTTCAGTTTTTCTAACAAGTATCTTGTTTAACTTAAGTTTCATAACTTTGCTTTTATCTACTTTATCAAGCTTTTTCCATACCAACCATATATCAACTCTTTAATATTGTTCTAATACCTACTGTATTCTTCACATCTAAGTAAGTGTATTAATGTCTTTTGTTCCTTATAGCATTCTTTATATTCATCTGTCTTGTATATGTCTGATACTTTTTTCTTTAGTACATTAAGAACTGATAAACTATTGCTTATATACTTAATTCTAAATACTATTTTCTTACTCACCTCTAGTGATTTACATTTGACTTCTGTTAAACTTCTGTTTTTCTTTTATAATGCTTTTCAATCTCTTTGAATTTCAGAATTTGGTTTGAGTTCCTTAATCATCTTTAAGCACTGCCATTCAGCACTATTTATCATGTTTATTAATAATTTTACAAACTTTCTTGTAGATATTTTTATCACTAACTCTTTCCAATACAGCATATATAGAAATTGACAGTTTCTTTCAAGTTTCAGATATGAGCATTTATCTAACAATGTGTTTTTTTTCATCTATACTACTCTACTATATACTTTAATCTTGACTAGCACTAGTTTGATATTTTTTGATTTACACATATCTTTAATCTTCATTACTAATATGAAATTTTTAACTTTGCTTCATTCTCTAATATTACACATAGACTTCTTCCTTTTCAGGCTTGTAATCACTGCTGAACTA